GCTTATTTGTTTTGTTTAGAGCAATTAATCCCCCATTAGAACGTGTTTTTTAAATCACTAGGGGTTGTGTATGTTGTTCGGCCTCTATTCCCTTAGGATATATTGTTGCGTTGTCATGCAGGTCAAGGGTCTGTGCAAAAAAGGTCAAGCTGCAGAGTTTGGAATGTGCTCCTTGATTTGATTAGCCACACTTAAAGAGAGTTGGCCTTGGTGCGTGTGTGTTTGTCATTGTTTTGTGTGTCTGTATGAGCTCTTAGCAGTAAAGAATCCAGTGCCCCTGTATAAGCAAACACTTGGTATCAGGGGATGCTGTCTGTTTGTTGCTCAGATTCTGTCTCTTTCAAACATGTTCACAGTGGAGGGAGAAGAATTGTTCAAGCAGACAGACACACTTCCAAACCTTCCTGCAGAGTGTTGGCTCCGTGACTTGTTTTCCAACTCAGCAGCATCTTCCTGAGGCCTCTAATAAAACACAGATTAAAGACAAGCAAGCAGACATGTCATTGCACACAGACACATAGTCGTGTAATTTCTGCTGCTGTTATTAGTTTCTGTGGTTATCTTCACAATCTTTTGCAAACCTGAGTCACCACTGTTTTCGTTCTTTTCAACCCATTATCATTTTTTTTGTTTTTTAAACACTATAATTTTGTGTTGCCTTAAGTCATCTAATGACCTCTGGGTAAAATTTGTCTTCTTATAAAGTCAGTGGTTATGCTTTAATTTAAAGTCAACAGAATGACTTACACAAATCGGGTTCTTGCTGGCTTTAAAATTGACCCTATACTTATTGGGAGTCTTTTGTCTCTGGACTCACACTAGACCAACCTGTGGTTGGAGTGCTGCTGTTGGCCCATCCTGATAGGCACATTACAAATTAAATGTAGATCAAACACCCACCCATTGTCTTTTGCTGTTATTGGAATCTTAAAATTGTAAACTTTGCCATCTGAATCTTGATGAGACTGTTTATGGTAATCTCTTTTTAATGAGTTTTGGGAGCCAAAACTGCATTCCTCCACCTAATGCTCAGTTGGTTTTTCCCTTTTGACAGGACAGGCTTCCTTCACGGTTCTTTCCAACCATTTGTCTTCTCTGTCCTAGATCTGAATATAATGGTTGTCAAAGGTTTGTTCGTTGTCCTTGAGGAGGTTCATGTGTACGCCTGAACCTTGCCCAGAGCTGCTTACACTTCTGTGCTGCACCATGTTATTATATACAGTGGGGCCAAAAAAGTATTTAGTCAACTACTGATTGTGCAAGTTCTCCTACTTAATTCAGCCAACTCATGCTTTTGACGCATAGCCCCTGCATCCGTCAAATCTGTCTCTATGCTCGACCACGCCCCCCGCGCAGAGGTTCTGCAATCGTCGTTACACACCTCAAAAAAATGCTGACTACGCATCGGACGGTCGCAAACCCGTATGTTTTTTTTTTAGAACTAGACTACTGACTGTATTTGTGGTATTGCTCTATCCCTGTCTGTTACAGGTTTTCTCCCTACATGTGACGTAGGACTGTTATCTATAAGCAATATCATAATTGCTTAGACTAGAATGAATGGTAGCTGATTATATAAATAAAATTAAGGGTTTCTATATAATCGTATATTTGGTATTTAAGCAGAATATGTTTAGATGGAAATGGTACTTTTAACTTTTACCAATGGATGGATACCTAAAGCGCACAAAAAAGTTTGTCTATTTATGAGAAGTTATATTTTTTCATATTTAACATCATTATTACATATTTTTCTGGTATCTTGCAGCTCTGATTAAATTCCTTTTCTCTTAACTCTGAATTCTTAAGTACATCCCTGTATTATGCTGCTGCCACCACAATGTTTCACTGCTGGGATTGTTTGCTCAGGCTGATGTGCAGTGATTGTTTATCCTCAGATATGCTACATTGTTTGTCTTAGTTTGATTGAAACACTTATTTTGCTTTGATTCCTATCAAATCGTATGGCAAAAGATTTACTTTTAACATGTTTCCTCACTTTTCCATAAACCACAGATTTTTAGGGATCTGAGAATTAATTTGACACAAATTGACTCAAATGATTTTATATCTTTTTTTAATTAATAGTTGGGACAAAATTCCTGTAAGGATAACAGCTTAAAAGTTCTGGAATTAAAATGAAACCCATGTAACCTTTTCCGTTCCTCCAACACAAATAATATTTAAGGTTATAATTACATTTGCATGTGCTTTAATTAAACTTAATCCTGTTTAGTATTGAAGAATAAACAAGAACCATTCTCTTCCCCTCCCCACCTTTGAACCATTGTCCACCTCTGTGAGTGAAACCCAGACATGTTCTGGTTATGACAAATCTGCCGCCAGCTTCATGGAGCCTCTAATGTTAACATGTCAGACCCCTTGTGATAGTTTGTGTGACAGAACTGTATGTGATTGTGCATTTGCTGGCGTGTGACTGTTTTCTTTTAAATTTGAAGAGCCAGCAGCTGGGAGCCATCTCTTCTTGATGTATCCGCCTTAACACCCCTCTCTCACTGAGGAAGCCCAAAATACAGTAATAAATAGACTGTGAAAACCATGCAGGCTGTGTTGATCTGAAGCTCAGGCTTTAATTAAGCGGCCTGCTAAAAGGTGGACTAGCAGGGTTAATTTGTTCTCCCAAAACATGATGTTTGTCCAGAGATTTTGTTGTCATAAATACTTGCCTCCCAAACAAGAAAAAGAACAATGAGAGCCTCTCCACTCTTATTTTTCACCATTTTACACACCTTGATGTATGTGAGAGAAGTGAATAAGTGAAATGGCATATTTTATAATGTTTATTTCTCTGTTCCTCACCATGCTGTGATCATGCTCTTATTTTTATTTTGCGGTCCCTCTTGCTTAAATTATTTCTTTTTTTTTTATTTCTTGGTTGTTTTGTTTTCTGGTTTATGACAAACTAGATTCTCAGTCAGAGAGTTAAAAAATACTATCTTCGAATCTGTCTATCGAATACCTTTTTTAGAGATGAGATGCTATGGTTGAAGAAATCTTTCCTTCTCCGTGTCATGCAACCAACACCAACAAAAAAATATGGAAAGCTTCCATGTGAAATAGCATTAAGACTTAAAGTGAAGTTGGTAATTAATCTTCCAATAAGTTCAAAGTTTTATTTCATCAGCGCTGATTTTTTTTTTTTTTTTTTATATATATTTATGTTAAAAGTGTCTACTTTTTAAAATGTGATGATCTAACAGTCATTCTGGTAGAAAAATATATAGAGTAAAATGACTTAGAAGGTTTCATAATTTTTGTTCAGTTACACCTACAAACCTCAATGTTACTATGACTTTATCTGATAGATCATAGTGTTGTGTGGAAAGAACAGAAGATTTATGCCAAATGTGATTTATTTGAAATCAGTTCTTCTCTACAAACTTTGCATATTTTCAGACTGAAATGGTAATCCTCAAGCTGGATGAGCTTGAGTGGAAAACTTTTGGGACAGTCTCCTTTGGATTCTGGATTTTGACCATTCAGCCCTACCCATGGAAATACTTTGGTCAAAACTAGGTATTTCCATTTTGCAGCCTGAGGATCTTTGGTGGCTCTTGATTGGCTCCTGACTCCAAATATGTAGAATAATTTCAATAAGATTTCTAACCATTTTGCATTTGGCATCCAGCTTTTACTTTTAACTTTAGGCCCATGTGGAAAAAACTCCTTCAGAGCCAAAGCATTCCTCTGGCTGAATGTGCTTTAAAGACAGCAGAGCTCCAAATAGAAATTGCTCTTATATGGGCTGCCAGCATTGATAGACTCCCGGATAGAGATTGACACATTTCCCAAAAAACAATACCAAAGTTTGGTTGCCTCAGATTTAAACCTAAGGGCCTTTTGTTGCCATTAAAATGGCTTTTGTTCGGCCCCTGGCTGCCATTGAAGAATGGGCCCCGTGATTCTTCCTATATGCATCCCATGTTTTAATCTGTCCATGTGGCATTAACTTGGGACTACCCTGGGACTTCACAGAACCAAACCGTTCTTCTGGCTGGATGTGCAGTTCTGTTCTGAAGAAGATGAACCTTCGCCTCAGACTGAAGTTTTGCCACAGCCTCTCCTTTGTCCAAACTGAATACTAATACCATCACTTAATGTATGTTAAGCAGTGTGAAGTTCACTGTCATTTTCCCACTGCATAGTTTTGCATGTACCAAAAATAAAAATTTTTCCTCAGTTGACCAATTCTGAAATGAAAGATTTTTTCCCCCACCCAAATTATGTATTACTTTATGCTTTTAAAACGTTTCAATTCCCAATAAAAAGACATTGAAGTTTGTGTGTAACTCCTGGCATGAATGCTTTCCCAAGGCAGACATTTACTGTGGGTTGCAGGCCTGTCGTTAAAGCCATCACCATGTGTAGATCAATAAACATATCTAATCTTTTCATTCCCTTCCAGCACTGATTTCCTTGAAGCAGCTTTCTGTCAACAAACACCATAGAGCTTATCGTAGAACATGCTATATATGTGTGTAAAGGTTGATATCCTGATTGTGTTTGTTTGCACTCAAAACAAGCTGTCTAAGTTTATCAGGAGATCAGTTATTAGCCCAGTGTTCTCTGCTGATTGTTCTAGCGTCTCTCACCACACCAACACTAGTCTCATACCAAATACATGTTTAACATACATTATCCTGCTCACAGCACAGTCATTGATGACTGACAAAATATGCTGACATCGTGTTCTTTTCCTGTGTAGTAGTTTGTTTGCTTCCAAACCTTGGTAAAACCAGTGTCACCCTGTCTCTCCCTATTCTAATCATAATGCTTTACTGTTGATGAAGCTCTTACCTCGGGCAAACTGACTTAAAATTGGCTCTGATATTTAAGCTGTCTGCTCTCTTTAGTAAAAAATGTGGATTCTGTCAGAAGTTTGTTTTTGTTTTGAAGGGCTCTTTTTAACATTTCCTTTCTCTCCTCTCCCCATTTCATCCTTTACTCTCTCTTTCATCCTTTCATCTGTTTCCAAATAGGAGATGTTGCTTGTTGGTCCAGAATCTCCATCAGAACAGGCAAGAAGGGTTTTCCAGTCATTTGATCCTGAAGGTAAATAAGCAACAAGCATTTGCATCTTTTGCTCTGTACATGTGATCATAATCTTGCACACTGATGTTGGTTAAGTTTTTGTTTTTTTAAGGTAAAATTGAGCAACAAAATGAAAACTCTAATGCAAAAATGCAGGATTTATACAAACTTCCCCACAGCTGCACTTGCTTATCAAACACTATCCTCCTACTTTTTCTCCCCATGTTCCAAATTAATTAAACTTCCCCTTTTAGTCTCTTCCCTTTCAGTCAGTATTTCTTTTCTTCTATAAGGGGAACAAGATGGTTCTGTGATGTCTATTGTTGCTGAAGTCAGTGAGATCAGCCCCGCTAACAGCTGAAACAACTGTCCTGTGTCTCTCCTTGTTTTCCCCCTTCTTGCTGCTTCCAGGTGACTGGGGTAAAAGGCAGCAGGGAAAGACCTGACTGATATTTTTTTATCACCATTTTAAAGTTGGATGTTAGTGACTGAAAGGATTTCTAATTTAGAGGATATTTTATTTATAGTCAACTATTTCAGCTTTTGGGGAGAGGAGAGGCTCTAATCAGCCTTAGGTCTTTTTTGTTTTTCATTTAAAGACGCATCTTGTTTTAGTTGTGTATTCTGCCCTGGGGATTCTTTCCACTATTGCTTTGGTTATAATGGCCATGCACTATGTAGCACAGTGATGCAGCATAGCCTTAGAAGCAATGAATTGAATCAGCCTGGTTTGCTTTCAAAGAGCAGTTAATTGATTCCTGCTAAATGGTTCCTCTTTAACTATGAAAAAGAATTGGATTTCTTTTGATTTTTATTCTCTAATAATCAGCGCAACTTAGTATGAAAACAATCTAACAAGAAACAAATTTGCTAGAATTTAATTAAACCATCAGGCATGGGCATTCTAATTCCTTAATTGGGAATATCTTGACAGTTGAAGCTTCACATAATCATAATCTCTAACTTACTCAGCAGCGTTCAGCTGAGTAAATTAGATGCAGGGGTAGAACGGTGATAGAAAGCCAACATGGATCCCCTCTGGGTGCTGTGGTCCAAGAATATTACGAGTTTGTGCTTCAAGGTTGACTTTGTCAGGAATGGGTATCTGTTACTGAGACTTTAGACAGCATAGCGTATCACTGGCTTGAACAGATTTAAAAGACTCCTGATGATTGAAATACAACAGCCCATAAAGAATTCTGTTCCAAATTATCCTTTTCACGCACTGATTTTACAGGACCACCAGATATGCAACATTTTTCAAAACTCTACTTTTTACCCTGCATGTATGTTGGGGACCAAAATAGGAAATAATGGTTAATGACTTCTTGGGTTTAATGTAAATGCCTGTTAACAGCCTTAAAAAACTTAAAGGAAACACTGATTGAGTGATCGATACTGAACTTCCCTCTTTGTGTCACATCTAGTCGACTTTTGACTAAAGTTATACCAAAGAAATACGCCCATTTCTGGTCATATTTGTCTTTTATTACATCTTTAACCACAGTTAAGTGTAAAATAATGCCCAGGTTAGCAATATTAATTAGCTTTTCTTTCATTTTTTTTTTTTTATTTGAGGAAAAAACAATTCAAATTTTTTCGGTGGCTTAGCTGCTAATGTTCAAAGCATTTAAGAAATCATTTAATGATAATAAAGTAAAAATAGTATTGTAGGTTAATCATAAACGTCTGGTTTTACTTTCATTTAGTTATCTCATATCATGAAAATACATGCAGTAGCCCAAATAGTTGCATATATGTTTGTTTGTTGTTGTAAAATCTCAACATAAACGGCTGTCATAAACAGCCCCCGGGAGCATTTTCTGATTTGTGGACATTATTCCTAATATAACCCTACAATCCCCTGAGATGACTCCCTTGAGCTTGGAGCAGTCATGTTTACTCAGTCAGACTCCACAATAGATCTGTAGACATAACTGTCAAATGCTCTTCCTTGTTCTTCATTTGTTTCTTCCTGTTGCACAGTGCACCAGTGCCTCTGTCATCTGCCAGCACGTTCTGCATACCATATGGTATGCTCTCACACATGTGTGCACATAAGCGCATTCTTTGTCTGCTGTCGGCGGTCCCACACGTTTAAGTGCATATGTGTACACATGAAAGGAGCGTGGACTGGACACGTATCCAGCATATAGCTAAACACTGTGGTAAAAGGGGCAAAACTGCCATATGTATAGTCAATATAGTGCTTTTGTTGTGGGGGAAAAAAATATTACTGCCACATGCATTCACACGCAACGCAGAGACTCATGAGATGTTCTCAGAAACTCCCTGTCTTGGTTCTTGCTGAATGTTGTTTGGTCACATCCTTGTGTTTGTGCATGTCCTCTAATTGATTGTCACACTATCAGTTGTCGCTCTGAACATCTGGTGTTGGACTAATATGAACTGAGCGACCAAGTGCAGTAATTGTCAGTTAATCTGTACAGCACAGTTGGGGAATAGGCATGATGCTAAACAAGATAACCCAAAGGCTCACATGCTAATTCTTCAGTGACATAGAAAAGTATGAAGCCAAAGCGAATGGGCAAAAACACATGTTTGCATTTAAAGTCGCTGCTTTCAGGTAACGTAATCATGCTGTCCTAATCAGAGGGAGACGACCAAGAGTTTTCAGATGACTTCATTCCACAGCATTTGTGACTTGATGTGCCAATGTTTGTGTGTTTTGCTTAAATGCTTTGCCTTTTTTTTTCCACCAGGCTCGCCTTATGTCTCCTTTTGTCTGTCTCTCTCTAGATAATGGCTTCATACCAGAGTCTCTGTTGGAGGATGTAATGAAAGCTCTTGACCTTGTCTCGGAGCCTGAGTAGTAAGTCCTTGCATGTTCAAGGCTTTATATAAGCTTGTGGGGGGGGATTTAGCTTGTGTGGTTGAACGTCGCACCTGTGGAGCTTCTAAAGTTCTGCCTCCTGAGTCAAGGCCAGGCCAGGTCACTGACCCTGTGCTCATGTTTCACCACCAGGCGGCCATTAAGTGAAGCAAGAGAGAATGCCGCTATAAAAGCTTAGAACAAAAAGGGAAAAAGTCAGAAACTGGCTTAGAGTGAGATCATGAACAAAGACGGAGAGATTGAAGAAATGCTTAAAAGTGCCGCTTGAAACAGAAGCATGTTTTCCTCGCTGTAAGCCCCAGTGCTGTAGTTGGGAGGGCTCTGCCAAGAAGTGGACCACAGATCAGGTCTGCAGACCCCCAGATGGCCAATAGATCACAAGAAAACGTAACAAACACAGGAAAATCCTACCGCAAGGCACAATCATTACCACACAAGAGTTTTTGCAGGGATTCCTGCTGTTTAAATGCTTATGGTAAATCCAATTAAGTCCTGTTTTATATTAATAAAGACAGATTATTTTTTAGAAATAAACTTAAGTAACACTAAAAAAGTGTTGTTGTCGATAAGTTTTAATAGTTATAAAAGTTATAAAAATAAAAGTTATAAAATTTCTCCACAGTGCAACACTATTGAATAGTTAACAAGCTGTGTAGTATAAGGTGTATTTAGACTTATCTTATACTGACAACTAAAAACCCAACCTTTAAATTAGTACAATTTACTTAGTCTGGATAAATGGGCCCAGTCGTGTACTATGCCTATAAAAAAAACGTAAAATAGGGTACGTTTTTTTGAAAAATGAAGCTGACCAGATGGTGTTTATTTTGTCCTATTTGAGCCTGAACATATTTTTTACATGTGAGTGATCAGCAGACATAAAAATGTTGTATGACTCATCCACTGAACCAACAGTATCCTGACCACATAACAGTGAGAAAAACAGAGGGAATTTTTTTTATGTGAAAGATTGGAGTTGGGCAGTTTACACTGCTGTGAAAATGTTAAATATGGGTCACATTTGGAGGCTGTGGACATAACCTAGCTATGGCTAAAAGGACCTAAAGCTGATCTTTTTGCCTATATGTGACTCATATAGCTTTTTCACTGCAATCTGAACGCCCTAATTCTGATCCAACTAGGGTGTTTTGTTGTGCTGTTTTAATTTACCTTCCTTCTTTGTTAATGATGTGGTCACAATCCCATCGGCTCCCACTGCTCAAGAGTTCAATAACTCAGAGACACCAACATTCACTGTTGTGTATTTTTTTTGTGTTTTCCTTCAGAGAAGCTTCATTAGACACTTCTAGTGACAGTTAAGTTCATCATTACTTCAGTGAACAGTGCTCTGCTGTGTGATGTCTAAAGGCTGATTTATACTTGGAAACCAGGTCATCTGCGTAGGTGTCGCAGTGAACAAAAAGACGTCCCCGCCCCCTCCGCAGACACTCCACTCCACCTCTCCCAAATTTTAGGTGACCGCAGACAGAAGGTCAGCTTGTTTGGTTTTTATGACCGAAATTGCGGAAACCAACTCGTGAAGTTGGACCAGCTAGAAGAGTGAGGTGCGCAAGAACGCTGGGACCCTTTTTCCACCTGGATCCCTGCTATTTTTCTTTTTTTTTAACAGTTTCCTGTCTGGCAGTGTGGCAATAAGAATAATTGTCTTGATGCCAAAAAGAGCCGAACAGATTTTACTTTCACAAGTGTAGCAGTATGGCATTTGCCATATTGCTCTACTTGTTTCATGCATATAAATTGCTTTATTATAATTATGCAGGGAGTTTTACAGTTTATATGGACACTGCAATGTAAATAGAACAGAAGAGGAAAAACTGAACGAAAAAAAAGAGAAAAGATGAAAGGAAGAGGAGGTAGAAAGGAGACAATGACATGATCCCCGCTATTGTTCGCCCTCATGTCCCTCCATTGTCGGACTAAACTTGCCCCCACTTCCTCACCGCCTCGGCCATATCTAGACCCACAGCGTATAGTGCAGACCACACTTCAAAATTGAGCATAAATCAAAAATGTCTGCATCGAGCTCACTGCGACACACTGCTGTGGGAGTATAACCAGCCCTTAAGATCTTCTGCCTGTAGGTCACTTTGATATGTTGGAGCATTCATAATAAACTCTGATTGTGGTCACACTGATTTAGTAGAGTAAAAGACCTTGACAACAAGATTGCATTTCAGCAAAATTGAATGAATGTGGCCTAAATCTCATGATCAAAGCAAAAGACTCCTGGTGAATACACAGCTAGAGTCATTGAAAGGCTCTAAGGTGTTTATCATGTTAAATTTTCTCTGTTTAAATTATTTGCTACTTTGATGCATCTTTGCTAGGGGTGCCTATATATGTGGGTAGCAGTGTAATATCAATCTAACGGACATGTAACAAAGCACTTGCTTATGATAAAGTAATTAGACATGATTTTTTTTTTTATCTTTTATTCTTAAGTTGTTAACATGCTTAGTGTCAACTATAACTATACTATACATCTAGTAGGGATTTTCCAATCCAATGTCAATATATCAGCCAAAAACTAATATTGGATTTTATTGGCAGGCACCTAAAACCTCTGATATTTTCATGCTGATAGAAATTCTGCTTCTATTAAAAGTTTGTTACTCATTGGTTAATTTTACATGGCTCAGTTGACTTTTGTTCCCAAATTTAGTAATATTATTTGGCCAAACTTTTTCTAGCATTCTACAATATAAAATGAGTAATAAAAGCTGGTATGATTCCTGCTGATATTGTATTGGATCTTTATTGGCATCTGCTAATTTTTAAAGCTGCAATATTAGCATGGTACTAGAAATGGAAAGTTGTATCGGGACTCCCCTGATATCCAGCTATAAAACCTAGTATAAAAGTTTCAGAGACTCTGCTCTGTAGCAGCTTCAGCAGTAGGTTGAGGAATGATCCCTCTTCTGTGTGTCTGAGTAAAACACTCTCTTCCCTATTTTCTCCCTTAAAAGGACAATCTGTTCAATTTTTTTATCACAGTGGAATAATAATAACACTGATCCAACACGTAGGAATGTCTGGAAAGAGGTATATTTAGTTGTACCACAGTATTTGTAAAAAAAACAAAAAAAAAACAGGCACACACTGACCAAAACATGCATCTCAGGTCCACACTGAGTGATTAGATGATTGTAAGTTTGGCTGGCTTGTCATGTGCAAAGCTTGTTGTTTTGTGCTGCACTGTTGCATTCTTCCTGCTACACTCTTTATCTGCTTGTTGTTTTTGTCTCGTTTTCCTGGTCCTGTTTTGTCTGCTGCCTTTTTGTTGATTTCATTTCTCTGTTCTCTACATCTGTGCCTTCTCAGCGTCAGCCTGGTGAAGAGTAAGCTTGATCCAGAAAGCTTGGGCATAATTCTTCTGGGCCCTTTTCTCTTGGAGTTCTTCCCAGATCAGGTATGTGTAAATGTGTGTCTGGAAATCAGCTTTCACTTCAAAAGATGCAATGTATGACGCATGTCTTCCATATATCCCACCATCCATAATATGATAAAAACATATTGAGAGAGATCGGCGTATCAAGCATGTTGCCAAAGTACTTTTTCCTTTAAAATTTTTCAGATTTGTTAAGTTGGAATCACACATGTTGGCGTGCTGCATCGGTATTGTATGCAAAAGGTCAACATAGTGGTTTATATAACAAAAAGGATGATGGATAACTTTTTCAAACAAAAGTCTGAAAGCGTGACCCCATTATTTAATTCTTTTTAAAAATAGTAGCTTCCATTAAATTTACAGTGTTGCATGTGTTTTTAAGCTCCCTTTGTGAATTACAACCTTCAATTTAATGCCCACTTTATTTTTAGAAGCTCAGTTGGATTGGACAGATCCATTTTTTAATTCCTCTTTTGGATTTGTGTCTGGACTTTAACTAGGCCATCCTAACTAATGGATATATTTAAATCTTAACCATTCCATTATAGCTCTGGTTGTATGTTTAGTGTTGTCTTTTTCTTTTCTTCTTTAACTCACTTTTAATTTCTTTGAAAGGTGTTCCTCTTTCAGCCTGGGAATGGTTTCCCGCAGCATAAGATTTCCTTAACATGTTTCACAATGTTCAGAAAAATACTTACTATCAAGTATTTGCATCTATTTTATTAAAGTACATAAAACCAAAAATTTCTACTTAAGTCCAAAAAATTCACAAGAAGAATACATTCATTAAATGCAATCCATTTCTGCCCTTATAAAACAATCACAGCTGTCCAATAATCAGTTGACCTATGAAAGGACACCAATTCTTACACAAAAACCCATATATACTTCTGAAATTTAGTTTACTGTACATGATGTTGGTTTTCCATCTCCATTTCGCACGTTTATCAATTAAATTTCAAAATAAATGTTGGTGCTTTATATAAATGCAAAAACATTCTGCCCACATGAAAAGCAGATATTTCTTTTTCACTAACAGAATTATGCTCTGCATTTTATGCATTTTATTTCACATTTAAAAAACCCAATAAAGCGCATTTGAATTTGATATCTGCGGTTAGAAAATGTGAAGTTCCAGTAGTTTTATTGCTTTTGCAGGCTCTGAACATGCATAGATGGCTCTAAGGTTTTAGTTGCGAACCATAAGCAGAGTGCTGTTTTAACAAATCTTTCTGGGCCTCAAACATTCCTGTGGCATATCATGTGAAACCTGCGAGTGTTCGCAATCATTTGAGATTACTTTTTGAGGAGCAGTAAGATGCTTTTATGAGGCAGAACTGGTAAAGAGGACAGAGAAGAAGAGATGGAGGGGAACTGTGTTAAAGTGATCAGGGCTTTAGGGACTAAGCAGAGGAATGGTTCAGAGCCACAAAGAAATTACACTACCATTAGCCAACTGGACCCACACACACTCAGACACACGTGGGATTGTTGCAAGGGTTAGTGTTTCATATATAGGAACACAAACATGAGACGCTCAGCACACACCCTGTTAGCCCTCTCTGCACCTTCAAGCCAATTTCATGGGAAACGTCTTTGCTCGCCATCACTGTTCAAGCACTTTTCTGCTGTTGGCTGACTTGCGGTTGCCGATGTTGAGCCTTACAATGCGCACATAAACACACATTTAGGTTTAACACATGGGATTCACTATAAAACTTTGGTTGCAGTCAAGAGTTGTGACTGTTTTGACTTTTTGGTTTGTGAATGTTGTGCATCTGCCAGTCTTTACTCCATGTCTGTGAGAACAGTCTACTTAAAGCCTCTTTTTGACAATCAAGCATGTTTTTTACTCTTTGTTGCAGGATTCAGGAATCCCAGACTCATTTCCCGTCTACCACTACAATGGGCTTAAACAGTCCAACCACAAAGAGAGGGTAAGCCACTCTTTCATATGGGTTTTTCCATCATAAGTAATGGTGGTGGGTCCTTTTAATATTCCCAGTCTCTTTCCCATTTACTTTTGCTTTTCCTGTCATCATTCTTACACACTTGCACTCGTGCATACACAGAGCCAGAGGCAGCCAGCCACTCCAGAATAAACAGTAGCTGTTTGGATCCTAATGGGCTGTCCATCCAGTTGAAGGCCCAGCTCAAGCCTCTGGTTTCCTCGAGTCGCTTCAATACCAAGGAAACAGACAGCAGCTTTGCTTTAAAAAATATTGAAACATAAACTTATTAAGCTGCCTCAGTTTGATGGATGATTGTCAGTAGATGTAGTTGGTGGCTTTGCATAAACCTGGAATATCAATTTCCCCATCTATCAACTCCACCATGTGTCTTCAGGCTCTTATTTTCCAGCCCGCTACCTGAAGTTAGAGAAATGGCATAGCATGCATGCCCCCACAAAGTCCCACACATACACACAAGTAGAAGCAAGGCGCCTATAAGGGTGTGATGTTATATCCATTCTCATGGCTCACGATGGAAACAGCAGACCCTCTGACAGCCATCGACTGCACGGGGCTCTGAGGAAACCTGCTGTCTATGTTCACTCATCCCTCTGACCCCTTCAGAGGAAATGTCTGCAAAGAGATGTGGTGAACAGCTCTATTTCTTTAGTGAGCTCTAGGCAGTGTGGTGCCAGTTCACTTAAAATGAGAAGTGTTAGTTCTACAAATTAGACTTGCCTTTACACAAGTTTAACACATGTTGAGCATGATCTTAGGCAATAAAGTGGCTGTTTAGAACTGAAATATCTGCATACTTTATCAAGATATAGCCAAATTGTCAAAATACTCCCTTTTTTTAACTTTTTCTATTCTTGCTGCCCTGCATTCAGCTAGCAAGTAATAGAGCCATTATTCCTAGAGAGTTAGGCTACCACTGTTTTTTAAATCAACAGCAACATTGAGTTAAAGCTGAATGCAGCTGACTCAGTCAGAACAGGTACTGTTCAGCTTTTTCCACTGTGTCTTTTGTCATTCAGATGATCAATGTGAAGCAATGTGAAGCTACATACCAGCATCATTTAACTTAAATGTCCAACTGGAAGAAAGATGCGCACATTTTGAAATGACTAACTTGATCATATTTCTTAAATTGTTAATGCTAGGAATATTCCATCATACAAAAGAACAAGCATGACTGCAGACATGTTAATAATTGTGAACATTAAGCACTGCTGACGGTTATTGGAGCTTTATTCGATGTTTTACCAATACATTTATATAATATGCGTGTGTTTATTTGTTTGTATATGTATATATATATCTATATATATATATATCTATATATATATATATATATATATATATATATATATATATATATATATAGAAACAAACAATCTTAAGTTAGTTGAATCCGTTAAATTATTATTTATGCCATACTACGATTTTACTTTCACATATAAAGGTAGTATTGGGTATGGGTGGTAAAGGGACATTCACAGGTGTGAAGGCAAGTAACTGAAGTGTTGTTTTTTTAATGGCATAAATTCCTTAAAAAACAATCCTGATTAATTGACAAATCTAAAATATGATTTATCGGTTATTTGCTGCCCTAGTTGTTGGACTCATTCTTGGATCTTTCAGTATATTAAGTCTAAAGTATAGAATACAGCATGTATTATATGTAACCCCTGCCAACAAAGACAGGTTACTTGCATGCATGGAACAAACAAAACACGCCTCTCTGCACAAACATACACCAGTCACCACACTCTTACCTGCAACGGTAAATGTTGCCATACTTTTGTACTTGTTTTTTTTTCACTTCCATATAGCATTGTAACACTGGAGAAAGCATTTCTTAAGGTTTTTCGTGTTAAAAAGTCACAGTTCTTTGCTACATCTGCATGACACCATTCAGAAATATGTTTGTGCAATACCCTGGCATTGACATTGCTGTGTTCTTTCAGGTTGAATATGTGGAGGGGACGGCTTTGGTGCTTGGCTTTGAGGACCCCATGGTCCGGACTGATGACACTCCTGTGAAGCGCTGCCTGCAGACCAAGTGGCCCTACATTGAGCTGCTGTGGACCACCAACCGCTCACCGTCACTGAACTAGAACTAAAACATTTGGTGTGTCTTTGCATGTGGTCGTACCACTGCTGCCCCCCCTCTGCCACACGACCCTTCTTAGCTTCTCCTTTACCCACTGACCACAGCAGTCAGCAGAAACTGTGACACATGCAACTGATTTGGGACAACAAAGGGAAACCAATGCACACGGGAGACAAACGTTTATGGACAAAGCTTTCCACTCCAGCCTGAGATCCATTTCTTTCACCCATGTTCACACATTCCGCACAAATAAAAACTTTGCATTAACCCTCGATTGTATTTAAGACACAGGATGTTTATGACTTGAACGTTTTAAAAAAGTGTGGCTTTTTGTTACAGCCCTGTGCTAAAGCCTTAAGCTACATTTTAGCAGTAGACATGTAAACACTGTTTAGCAGCTTGGTTCAACAAGGGTGTGGATAAATCTCACAATGAACCACATGTAGATCCAGTCGACTGTGAAACCCTAATCTTAACCCATAGCTACAGGACTGTTTGAAGGCAAACTTACCAAAGCTTCCACTGAAAAGAACACGGAAAGGCTCACACACCCACTAACAGCCACTTCCACTGTTCAGAGTTTACACAATTAAGGGGACCAACCCAGCAGGAGGGATCCTAACTGGATGTTTGCAGCCCTTTCCCCAAGGTGAAGCTCTGTGGGAGCTTTACGCATTACACTAGGATGCTGGCTAAGTGCTTGTATTTATTATTATTATTATACTCAGAGGTTGTGGAATAAACACGGATTGTTTTTTTGTTGTTGAAATGTGTGCCTATTTTATTATGCCTCCCACTCTAAATTGACTTTAAGTATTTTGTGGATATCCAAAAAAAAAACAAAAAAACTTCACAACTTCATTGCTATCCTTTACTCTTATCCCGTTTGTCCCACTCATCTCTATTTATTCACTGGATTGCTGATAGCCCGAAAAAAGTGAAACCACTGGCTGGCATTTTGCGACTCCCTACTCCCACTGAGACGCACCATAAAAATGCCTACATGTGTAGCATTTCACTGCAAAAACAAGCAGTTTGCCGGCTATGGGAAGATGTTTCACTGTTACTTTTATAGTCGGTGGATGTACTAACCTAGAAAATCCATGCAGTATACATATATGCCGAATTATCCCATAGTATAGCATATAGCCTAACATTAGTCTCGCTATCTCAGACTGACTCAAAGTAAATCACTGAGTTAGCCATCAACATTGTGTCTAATGTTAGAAAATAGAAAGTAATTCAATGTGAAATGTCAATGTAATAATTCTTAAGTGTATGACAGTCGTTTCTGTAGTGTTTGTTGTATTTCTCATTTAAATATTCATGTGAGTAAAACTAGCAGCAGTTCAGCGGACAGGATGAATGAACGGTAGCCGGCGGGCGCGGATGATGTCATACACGCGCAACTTCGTTCTTAAAAAATATAAATATGAAAAATATAACCGCAAATGTCTGGGGGACAGTGATTTGCCTACATATTATGAATGCTGGCGTACCATGAAGAATAAATTATGAATAGTTTAGTTTGTGCCTTCAAGTCGTTGCCCATAGGAAGACGTTACTTGGATATAATCTAACCGAATATCTTCAGAACAGCTCCAAATGACACAAAACTCATATGGGTGAGTAGAACATGATGTAATAACGTAAAATCGAGGACCCAATGTAAAAAAAACGACGTTCCCCTTTAAAGGCTAATGCACATAAACAGCATAAACTATATGGCATCATATATGCATAATTTCCAAATAGGAAAATACTATAGCATTAAAAGATGTTTACTTGTAATTCAGTCTTGGAAGTAATATGTAATTACCATAATGTCATCAATACATGTATATTATATGTACATACTTTTGGCACATCAGTATTATGCACCATTAACATAAATTTTGTTGTGAGGGATTTGTAAAATATGTTATATTACATGATTTATATAGACTTCATACTGACTATGCAATGTGATGTGCTTATTTTTTTATTATAAGTTAAAGTAAACTACTTATGTTATGAAATACCAATTGTGTGTCAAAGTAATGAATTTATCTTAATTTTAAAAGTATTAAGTCCCTCTGTAAATGAGAAAATCACCGTTGTTTAATGCTTTAGTGCACGTATTGTTTACAGTGCGACTGGTCTAACTAGAGAGTACCAATATGGCGGCCGGTGGCTTCACTTCAATCCCGTACTACCAGCTATCAGCAATCCAGTGAATAAATGGAGATCAGTGGTCTGTCCATACATGAGTCTGCGGGTCCATTTCTATTTATTTGGTTGTTTCAGCTCAAATCACCACTCGTCTTTTTTTTCCTTTAAACTATTTGGACATCTATCCATCCAAGCTCTTCCATTTGGCAATCATTTAGCCATCTATCAGTTCCGAAGCCATTGTTAGATCATACATTTCTCCACCTATTTGTTGTATTCATTTTTTCTGTTTCCTATTCTGTCCAACAGTTTTTTTCTTAATCCATCCATCTGTCCATAGATCTTCCTTAATTCGTGTTATCTTCAAGATTAAAAGCATAACTGCAATTTGTACCATAAAATTCTGCTTGAAGAAGGACTGGTGGCTTTAAAAATCCAAGGCTAGAGAAGTACTTTTTAGTTTTGTTTTTTATCTATGGAAAACATGGAAGAACCCCTCTTAGATTTGTCTTGACCCAACACAAGATAACCTTTGGTTTCAAATGTCTATGGTCTTTCTGCTGCTTCAGCAGTAAATCACAGCACAAACCGATGTTGAGTGTCCCAGAGAGAATCTAAATCAGTTTCTTAATAAATCCCCAAGACACTAATGGTGACTTAAGTGGTTCTCTATAAACAGAAAGTAATCCCCCTCAGACAGAATATGGTGTTTGTCTAGCACCAAAACTTCTATAAAGAAGACCAATCATACTCTTGACTCTTACTTCAAACCCCTCGGTGGCAGACTGTTGGCTGCAACATAAAACACTGGAACATTCTGCCTGTCAGCAGTTGCAGGTTGAAAGTCTAAATTAGTTTAAGCTTTAAAAGAAAAGCACTTTATTAATCTACAGAGAACACTTTTCTCTCCCTCTATCCATAAACAGGTGTGTTGTAGTATACCCTGTTTTTTAATAGAGACAGATTGCAGTGCCAACACACATCTTTAACAGTCTTGTTACGAGTTTATAAAGAGGGAAGGGGAGCGAGGGCACGGTGCATAAGGAATAAACCACTACTGTTCATGAGCTGCAATCACTCCAGAATGACCTGCAGTAAATCTCTGATCAGAGCCCACTGGCAGGCTGACAGGGTCTAACCTGAACAGCATGCATGTCTATTCCTGGTAATGTAACAGAGGACTTTGCTGGACTTGAAGACAGATGTTAACGTGCGCACAAATACACCTCTGCATTTAGACACCTGATAAACTATGTCAAGGCTGCCTGAAAGCAAAAACATTACACTGTTTTCACATTTGATCATCCTCCTCATCTCCCCTTTCTTTCTCCATTGGTAAGTGTGTGTGTGGGTGTGTTGGGGGGGGGGGCAGCTTCTTAGCCTGCTGCTCATGTTTAACAGTTCTTTTTCTCCTCACTGTTGATTTAAATTTACTTATAAACAACTGAGAAAGACCAGATCCTCTCCTGTTCCTTGTTCTCTCTTTAGTCTGACACTGGCTGTAGCATTTCAGGAAGAGAATCACTTGGAGATCCAAAGGGGATAAACCAAGCCTGTGTTAAATAGGCATAATAAAAATAAATATGGAGGAAAGTATGAATTAAACATGCTGGGTTGGGTGAAGATCGCCACCTGCTTCCTCCTTCCTGGTTTCACTTTCCTAGCATATTTGAATCTTACTTTTCTTTACATAAAACATTCTTTTGTCAGACATCCTGGGACAGTTTTAGATGAGAGCTGAATTTGTGCCTTTGTATGCTAAAGAGTTTTACACAGAACTTTCTATCAACCCATCTATACTATCTTAATTCTAACATTGTCATAAAGTGGCATATGATCATTTTCTCCAACCTGGGCTGCTGCTTTTACCCATGCTGTCTACAGGATCTCATGGAGAAGTTGAGAGGTGGAGGTGTAGCTTGGGAACCTAAGGGTTTCATCTTCACTTTACCAGATAGTTTGCAGGCGGCACTATGGTGGTGGGCCTCATCAGAGGACTACAGAGAGGAGGTGGAGCAGCTGGTGCAGAGACTTCAACCTGATTCTGAATGTGGAGAAAATGAAGGAGATCTTTGTCGACTTCAGGAAGAACCTGGCCTAACCACGCTCCACTGCTCAACAGCTCAGCTGTAGAGGTGGTCAACAGCACCAAATTCCTGGGAGTGCACATCAGACACCCTCACCTGGATGGTAGACACCACCTCACTTATCAAAAGGGCACAGAAGCCCTTCTACAGTAGCACCATAGAGAGCATTCTGACCAGCTGTCTCACTGTGTGGTGTGGAGGGTGCAGCGCCTTAGACTGGAAGAACGTGAGAAGAGTGATGAGAACAGCAGAGAGGATCATCAGGGCTGCTCTTCCCTCCATTAAAGAAATTTCATCCCATTGCTGCGTGTCCCGAACCTGTAATATCCTCAGTGACCCCTCACACCCCCACCATGGACTGCTCTCCCTGCTGCCCTCGGAGAAGTAGCTTTGCAGCATTCGATGCAGGACCAGCAGCGTCTGCAACAGCTTTTTCCACTCTAAACTGGACTCTGCATAACATTATTTTGCACTACCAATGTTGCTGATTTTGCACCTTATTATTTTTTGCACTATTGAACATTTTCATATCAATGCCCTTCTGCGCCATTATTTAAAGCTGGAACAAAGCGGACCCAAAGGAGAGGCGAGGCTTAGTGCAGAAAGAAGTCAGAAAGGTGGAGGAGGAAAGCCGGCATGTCAAGGCTGTAGCCATGAACAAACAAGGCAGCTGGACTAGATGGGAGAGTGCGAGAGAGAGGGCTCTAACTTGGCAGGACATCTGGAGCATGGAAGGCCACCGCATCAAGTTCCTTTTATGCTCTGTTTATGACGTCCTACCTACTCCCTCAAACCTCCAAACCTGGGGAATGGTCGAGAGCCCAAGCTGCAACCTCTGGAAGGATGGCTAACCTTGAGCACGTCCTCTCTTCATGTCACTCAAGCTTAGCAGATGGCAAGTTCTGGTGGTGTCATGACCAGATCCTTGCTCAATTGGCCAACGGCATCAGGCAGGCAAAGAAAAGGGCAAGACAGCTGTCCAAAGGGCCTCGTTTCATACTTTTTACCAGGGCAGGAGAAAGTGGAGTAGCAGAAGGGAGGAGCAAGGAGGGAGACAGAGAGAGAGAGAGAGAGTAATACAACTGGCCCACAGATGGTGCAGGGGCAAGTACCTGTAAAGGTGGGCCAGTTGCGATATCCCTTATCGTATTTTACATATTTATTTTTCTCCTACTTTGTTTACATTCTGATCACTGCGGCACTTTATATTGGTATTGTTTATCTGTTCCAACTGCAATATCATTTCAACTGTTGTAAGCTATATGCACGAAATATTGTTTTGTTTACGCTGTGCATAGAAAATTATAATAAAGTTTGTCATATTGTGAATCCCTGGGTTCCTTCCCTTCATGAGGTACACCACATAAGGTGGAGCAGATGAAGAAATAAGCCAGGACTGGTATAATTTAAAAGAAAATAATTTAACAGGTGCTCCATGTAAAGGTGCAGCTATGTGCTTAACTGGAGGTCAGCCCATAATTCAGGTTCTGCCTAGGGCCTCCTACTATCTTTGTGTCAGCAATAACTTTAG